TAAAGTCTCATAAATATATCTATTTTCTTTTTTTTCCTTGCCATAAGACATCATGAAAATAAAAAAGAAGAAGGCTTGGTTAGAATAATTAAATTAAGTCGACGAGTTTCTCAAAGGAGGCAATAGAAATACAAAGTTAGTGTGAACTAATATGTTATATGTATACGAAGAACCTCTACAGAATATTAATATTTTATCTATTCTTTTATTTTCACCATTGAATTTTATAATGAAATGAGTATATATATATATATATATATATCATTGTTTTTGTCATATTGACACAGATTTAGCGGAAAAGATTGAGACCATGCTTTTCTCGCATTATATTCACACGATTAAATTTTCTGTAATTTATGTTTTCATGTAACTGTTAAAAGATAAATATTTTCCTAGTATTTACTAATATTCTGCGTCATATTTCATGCTATATAGTTATTAGTCTATCAAAATAAAACATTGCACAGTTGTGCTTGTATTTTCAGATTTTCCAGGTTAACTAATATGTTTTTACTAATGAAAAACATGAATTATGCTAATATATTTTTGTTTTAGGTCGCAGTGATAACTAATCAGAAAAAATAATATAGAAAATCTTCATGCAGTTTCATATTTGAGAAAGAAATGGAAGATTACATATCGATTATTTCTAAATTTTTCCTTGATGCCTGTACGCTTGCCAATTATTTCAATCGGAAGTTTTCTTCTACTTATAGAAAAATATGTCAAATATGGTAGTCCGTCGCAACAAACATTTTCCTACCAGATAAAGAGCATGTAAATAGAACCACAGAATTTCTACAATATGAATATAACCAAAAAAAAACCAACTGATACTGTAAATGTAGTGAAGTAAATTTTTTGTATCCATCAAAAAAAACAAGAATAGATTGTGTTCTATCTTGAATATAGTTTTTGTTTCATTTGAGAAATACTATACAAAATAAATAAATAACTATCTATTCAATAGACTTCAGGATCTTTTTACATAAACAACAAAATCTTATTTCGAGATTAAGAATACAAATGTCTTGAAATCTGATAAAAAGGTTTACGTTTCCTAATACTTTTTCTCTTTTCATTACAATATAATCAATATACTGAAAGCATGCATTTACTAGTATAGATCATTTTCCTAAAACAATATCGAAATCTATCTTCAAATTAACGAGACGTATAGTCGTATGAAAAGAATTTGTTTTCTCTTCCAGAAAAAAAATGCTACTATGTTTTCAAAAATATTAGTTTTTCAACATAAACATCGACTAATTAATATTCCTTACTAAATATCAGTGTAAAGTATTAGCTTGCGTTGAATAACTTTTTATTTACATAATTATATATTTTCGTTTTCTTATGAATACTAATGATGCGATTGAGTATTTTTCTATGGGAAAGAAATAGCATTGAAATCAATCTCATCTATCTTGCTAGTTTAAGCTTATAGCTACTACATATAAAATGACCTTGGTCAAAAACAGATGTCTCGATTGCTGCTTTCCAAATGACTACATTAAACAGTTATAATATATCAGTACTTAATTACCCTGACAGTTGAGTGTCAAAAGAAACACGCTTATAAATACTGAGATTCTAATGCGTATTCATGTGAGATTTATTTATACATAATAGTCATGAAGAGACACAAAAAAAGAAGTATTCTTACAGAAAATGCGTACTCATTGATGTAACAGAGTATGTAGTAACATTCTAAACAAACTAATTCATTTGAGTTATAAGCTATTTGAATATAGGCATAAATATTTTACGAAAACGAGAAAAATACTTAAATATGACAATTCAAGGTAATATATATATATATATATAATTCATATAGATATTAAACTAGTACAAATGTTTAATTTCAACAGATTAACATATATGAAATTGCTAACTTCGTAGTGAAGCACATTAAGTTATGTCTAATATAATCATATACTATTACATTGATAAAACTAAAAGTCAATCGATATAATCTAATTGAATAGCAGTCCGATAAAAAAAATATATAAAAATATATTAATTGAAATACCGATAATGTTTATAGACGTCAACATGATATTAAATAAGCTGTTTTCGACCTTTTCAAAAAAACTCTCTTTTGTATAAATGTAGAACATCTATAAGGTCAATATGATCTTTGTCGAAATTTGACAGCTTGTGTTTTCAGAATGTTTCTATCAGTGATCCTTATTTCCGTTGATCTTCATTTTGATAAAATGAAGTCATCAATAATATTCTTCAATAATGTTTGTAATATATACATGTATTAAAAAAAAGGTTAGAGTTTTTGTTAAATTTATTTAATAAAATTTAGCCAACTATCAATTATCAATAAATGAAAATTATCATGTTCTTGTATAGCTCAAACATATTTATGAACACGTTTATCAATTAATATTTTGAAAAATTTACACGTGATTTAAAATTAACAACTTTTATTATCCTTATTTTTTTCCCCTTTTTTCCATCTAAGAACATGTCTGGTAGTGTGAATAGACTTGGATGTTGGTGCTTGTGAGAATCTTCTCGTGATCATTATCGATAAATATATATATATATATATATAAATAGTCTATATGATCAATAATCTCGTTATTTTAACAATGTTTGTGTTCTATGTTCCGTTTGATTATTAACTTTATCAAATAAGCTTATCTATAGTTGAAATATGATTAAACATGAAATACGATAACGATGAAGAGATAAATTCATATTAAATATTTTTCTTAGCTAAGTTTATATCTGAAAAACTTGATATCTATTGAGACATAGGCGAATAGGTTCTTTTTATCAATTATCACACTAAGATTTGTCTCATAAATAATCTATAGAAAAAATATTACTAAGAAATGGTAATCAAAACAAAACTTACGAACACAAACGACCGAAAGAAATTTGGCTATAAGACTTCTAACCAATTTATCAAACGAATGAATTGATATGTTGAATTAGTATTCATGCGTTAAATTTATCTTTTACAATAATTAATCATGATTAACTTTACTTGTAAATATTTTCGTGATTACAAAGTATATCGATTGATGCAAAAACAAAGAATATTTTGCGTTTCCGAATATATAACATTCAGTAGGAATATTTTTCTTCTGTTCACGTAAATTTAATTTGAAGTATCATGTTTTTAGCAAACAAATAAGTTGTGCAAATGTACGAGAAATTGTTTTTTGCCATTAGATTTATTAGCTTGTCAATCCTCTTCGACCTCTTTCTCCGCGAAGTTTCATTGCCATCGATCTACATAGATAATTACCTTCAAGAATCTTAATCATTGCAGGAGAAACGCCATTTTGAAGAAGACTTGAGAAAATCTGGTGATGATGAACTATGGACATTGTATTTTAAAAGTCAGAGACTGCACACGTTTGATGTACTTTTAGTGTTTCCTGTTTGATGTTCTTTTTGTACTATATATCTATGTCCGTTGCATAGAAAGAAAAAAAGAAACCTTCGTTTTATGATTCGATCGTGCTGGATGCAATCAGGCGTAATAAAATACACGTGGATTGAAGATTAGTGCATAACGAATATGATAAAATGTATGCATAAACAATAGATCAGACTCATTGAACAATGAAATAAAAAAGTAACAAATTTTTATAGGGAAGACTCCTTTGGACCATCGTTTGTATTGATAACTAAAATATATGACTAAAGCTACTCTATTATTTCACACTCTTTAGTGCTTTATCATATCAGTATGAAATATAGCTATAATCTTTTATAGAAGAACGAATTTTCCCTTCTAGTCAATATATCATGGAGTTCTCCATTGACATATATTTAAATAGTGACGTACATATAACATTTCATAATGAACTAGAATAGCCTATAAGCTGGTGGTTATCCCTTCAGAACATTATAAAATTGATAAAGCATATCATCATCAATCTGCATCGATCACGAAAAATACACATGAGCTATGCTCAGGTGATTCATCAACTAATAAACACCTAGAGTGCATTTTTTTCTTTCATTTCTAATAAAAACATGTCGATATTTCCCCTGTAAACCATGAATCTAAAAAATATTAGGTTTACTCTAGACAATTTAGATGATAAGAACATGCGAACCTATTTAATGTTGTTAAAAACACAATTGATACTATTTGGAATAATACTCAATATTCAAGTAGATTGTACAAGTATTACTTTAAACAGGTCTGAAAATTTTCAAAATGTAAAGAAAACAATGACGAAGTTCTCTATATTGAATATTAAAATAGTTACCAATTCCTACAAATATTTTACATTTGATATTCATTGATTATAGGTAGAAGAGAACTACTGAGTGTAAAATTCACTTTTCGAGTTCATATTGGGATTGTGTTGATCAAGTACGAATGTGTATTAGTACTCGAAAAAATTCGTAATACTCAATTCTGTATTGCAGCATAACATTTTCAATCAAAAAAAGATGTGGTTTTGTTTTGACGAAATATTGAATTTTCATATGAACTGTGTTTTCATCGTATGCTCGCAATCAATGATTTCTTTTCAAAAATTTGATAGATAAAGAAGAAAACTGTCTATTAGGTTGAGATTTTGAGGAATGTCTATAAATTGAGCGTCCTTGTGCAGGAAAAATTGTTCTTTAGCATCCTTTTCCTTACTTGTTCAGAATATAGTTCAATGCAGATGAAAAATTTGACAATACAATTGTTTCAAGATTTTTCCTAGTCTTATGAAGATAATCTTGTGAGTTCAATATGACTTACAAGTACAGATAACAGTTCTATCAGTTCTCTCACAACTATTGACTCAATAGGGGTTTTTATTTTCTTTGAAAAATTCTTGACTGATTTATCATATGGCAGTGTTACAAACAAGAATTCATTTATGTCAAATTAATATCTATACAATATCAAGGTTTTGAAAATTTCCGAAAAAGATATTTTCAAATTGATATGCTAAAGATTGTATGTTTGTCGAACAAACAAAGGCATAATGCAATTTCAAATTAAGGCAAAACAAAATTTGCGATTACATGTTGTTATGGTTGTAATCCATATTTTTTATTTCATTTTCTTTTCTTTTTCTTCCCTCAAATGTTTTTCGTCTTTGCCATCTTTCTGTACGTATTCGTTGGCTAAGACTTCGACATAAAAATGACCAAGGTTTTGGTCCAGTTGTACCGATACTAGGATATTTTTCATATAATGTTTGTCCAATAGCTTGATATTCGTGTTGTTCTCGAAGACATGGTTTTATTGACATAACCCAACGAGCAAGTTCATTGATAAAAGTAGCCCATTGCTTATGAATTGTATTTGTGCTAAGTGCTTCTATGATATTAGCTGAAAAACTCGGTAATATACTTGGATATATAAATACATAATCAGATGATAATGATAATTCTGAAAGATATGTCGACGAGTTTGAATTATTACTATCATCAGGAGATGTTTTATTATCAAAAATATTAACAACAGTTGATGGTCGATTCATATTCGGAGATGAAAATTTAATAAATTGCTGCTCTTTTAAATCATTAATTTCTTTGTCTTCATCAGCAAATTCATAAATATGATCAAGAATTTCCTAAAATATAATTTATTTATCGATATAAAAAGAAAATTTGAATACTGATGAATCAATCATTGGTTCATATTTGATATTCGAATTTTGATTCGATTGCTAAAATTAATCATAAAACAAAAGTATCACGAAGTTATTATGTAAATAAATAGATTTAGTTATTTACCATTTTTTGTAATATAGTCCAAAATTGTTTTCGATCACGAAATGTAAAACCATATTCATTTCTAAATAAATGTTCGATATCATCACGATCCATTATTTGTAAATCTTCGTCACTAATATGTTGTTCTATTGGAAACAAAAAGAGGTCATCGTATAAATATTAATCTTCTAATATAATATTTACTTTCAACAATTGTAATCATTCTATCGGATATTCCATACTGTAGCAGATATGTAATAAATTGCTCCGTACTTTTGCTATTATTACTACTCATCATTATCAAGGTTGATATGGCAATATTTGTATTGACTTAGTAATGTGAAATGGTGTTGTTTCGTTTATTGTTTTTTTTCTGTTATTCTTGATGACACGTTGGCGCGTGATGCTTAACGCGTTGTGATGCAAATTTCTACTATGCATGGGTTATATAAAATTTTAGGTGAACTTTATTTTTTGAAGTTTTCTAGTTGACGGAAATAACGAGTTGAGTTCAGGGAACAAATACATACGACTGATCAAATAGGTGTGATCTTCGAAATTCAAAGAAACCGATTCATAATGTTGATAACAGTCTTCTAAAAATTTTCATCGTATTAAGAGATTAAACTAGCGTATAATATAACGACAATAGTTGTTCATTTTTTTTATAGCATCATCTTCTAGTACTTGTTGAATTGCATGTGTATAAAAAAATACTGTTTTTTTGTTAAAAATGAAACGAGTTTAGATAGCTCGAGTATTTTAAACTACAGATACTAAAAAGTAACTCAATAACTTCAGTTTACTTAAATCGAGCAAATTATTCAAAATTTTATTTTATCAGAAAGCAATCAAAAGATTCTGTTTTGAATTTTAAGTATTGATTTCAATAAAGATTTAATACTGGTCGAAAGTGTGTTTTCGTGATTTCAGAAAGGATACAAGCTCATGATCTACTGAATATATCATTATGTAAAATATTCACAGTTTTTAAACATTCAAATAAAATTTAAGAGAATGTTTACCGTAAATAATCATATCAAAGAATCACATAATGCAATGTTCGCTCAGTCTCCTTCTCTCTTTTGAATGAGAGAACTCATTATACAAAACGTCTTGCCATAGATCATAGCATATATTTAAACTCAATCTGAAAATAGTTGAAATCACGATGTGAGATAGTTCTGTTCAAGAGTACTACATATTCACAGTATCTGTTTCATGGTTTCATTTTTAGTCATAACCTTAGAGATTTATTAACGCGATGCGAAGCATAGCATTTATGTAGTCCGTAGCGAGTTTTCTTTTGCTTTTGCTTTCTCGACGTACGCATCACATCTCGTCGTTTTGTGTTGCAATGATCTCGAGAACCATAAATCATAGAAGGGTCGTTCAATGGTGAGATTAGGGGTGTCACTTTAACTTTTCTTTAAAATTAAAGTTAAAGTAAAACTTTAAATTTTAACTTTAAATACTTTCCTAAAGTATTTTAAAGATAAAGTGCCACCCCTAGTTCCGTGTTCAAATCCAAAACTAAGCGCAAAAAGAGTAAATATCGAAATATAAAGTAACGTATAGCATATGACATAGAAGTAGACAAATCAGATAGAGCAGTTTCAAAAACAACACAATAAAGGTGTGAGTGGGTGGGTGGATGGATGTGAGTGTGGGTGTCAACCTTGCTGTTTTCCACACCCGCACCCATATTGAACGACTGCGTTCAGATGATGTTCCCATGGCTTATCGAGACCAGGGGATGGCTGATGCTGAGTTTAAGAAAATCGAGCGATGTCCGGGAGGACTTATTTCTTTCAACAATTTCCTATCGACCAGTTTAGACAAAGTAGTCTCCATGCATTTCGCACGTGAAGCTCTGAGCAATCCAAAAGCTGTTGGAATTCTTTTCAAGATGACCATCGGTCCAACTGCATCATCGGCACCATTTGCCAAAATCCCCAGCCAAGAAAGCTGCTTCGGTGAGTCGGAGAAAGAGGTGCTATTCTCTATGCACACCGTTTTCCGACTCGGAGGCATCGAGAAGATGGAAGATGGACTTTGGCAAGTAAACCTCACTCTGGTTGATAATGCAGCCGATCCAAAATTGCAACAACTTACTGCATACATGCGCCAGCAGGTGACTGGTAGCACAGGCTGGCATCAACTCGCAAAAGTCCTCTTGAAAACTGGAAATTACCGTGATGCCGAAGAAATCTATCAAACTCTGATTGAACAAGCGAAATCAAACAACGCTGAGAAAGATCTTCCCCATTTATACAGCCAACTGGCATGCTTGAAAAACAGAAAGGGACCGTACCACGAGGCACTCGAATTGTATCAAAAATCACTTGACATCAGACGTAAATCTCTGCCTGAGAATCATCCTGAATTGGCTACCACATACAACAACATTAGATTATTGCATGACAAGATGGGAGAGTACTCCAAAGCGCTCGATTTCTATCAAAAAGATCTGGATATCAGTCTCAAATTTTTGTCTCCGACTCATCCCGATTTAGCTGCTATTTATAGTAACATCGGTTCAGTACATGATAAGATTGGAAAATACTCCAAAGCACTCGAGTTCCATGAGAAGTGTTTCAAAGTCAGTCTAAAATCACTGTCTCCGACACATCCGAATGTAGCTGGTTTTCACAGCAACATCGGAATGGTTTTCGAAAACATTGGAGAATTCAGCAAGGCACATCAGTCGTACACCAAATCGCTGGAAATCTACAGGGGTTCTCTGTTTGAAAACCATCCAACCCTCGCCTATACGTACAATAGAGTTGGTGAACTTCACGAAAGTATGGAAGAACCCGAAAAAGCGTTGGAATACTATGACAAAGGTTTAAAGATACAAGAGAAGTGTTTATCATTCAGCCATCCAAATCTAGCAACAACCATATACAATATGGGCTCAATCAAGACAACTGAAGGCGAATGCCAAAAGGCGTTGGATCTCCATAACCGAGGACTGAAAATTCGAGAAAAATCCTTTCTTGCGAATCATCCGGATATTGCTCGCAGCTATCATGCTATGGCTTCAGTGCAAGAAAAGATGGGCGAGCACTCGAAAGCACTGTCGTGTGCGGAACAAGCTATTCAAATCAGTGAAAATTCGTTGGGTGACGAACATCCACACGTTCAATTGTATCGAAATACTCTGAATCGATTGTGAAAAAACGTGTAGTTTTTGCGCCTCTCAAGCAAAACCGAATTCATTTGTTCATCGGTGAAAAACTGTGAAAGGGTGTGGGTGAGGGTATCAATACGGAAGGGAAGAAGACGAGTGTCCACAATCACATCCTCAAGATATGCATCATCTTTTTCATTTGTGTCTCATATTTTATATGGTTCTTTCGAAATTATATTCATGCCACGCTTTATATCGTCAATTAAAAATGTCTATGAAATGAAAGGCGATGTTCCTTTTCGACTCTTGAGGGTGTGGGGTACGTGGGTGTGAGGGTTTGGGTATGAGCGTGAGTGAAGAGAGCATTTATACCCAGACACCCACACTCTTAAAATAAAGCGAAGAGAATTTAATTATTAGATGAATATACGGTGATTTAAAGTTAAAACTAAACTAAAAACTAATATGAAAAAAATTAGCTTCTATTCCATACAAATATTTTTTTAATTTTATACTCAAGTTAATATTTTTAAAACCCAACTAATTAATCCTAGTAGTCTATAAATCAAAATATATTTGTCGAAACAATTATCAAATCTTCTTAATTTATTTTTATTTAATATTATCAAAAGTAATCGCGTTTCGGTAAAAGATAATTTTTATTGATACATAAAATTAAAAAACTTGAAGTAAAAATTGTACTAAATAGTATCTTAGAATGATCATGAGTGTGTAGAATATGACTTCTCGGTCATATGGCTCAATGGTTCTGTCGATGGGTAAGTGTCACATTGTATACATGTTCGAATCTAATCTTCATCCTTACATATTTCCATTCAGAGTAGTCCAGACTCATCCACTATATAAGACTACAGTTGATTGTATACTCGTCCCATACGCCCTTAATTTTTCATTCATAAACCATTTTCGGACGGGTGACAGGGACACTCGTCACGACTATTCTAATTAGATTTTATGACTAGTTGTCAATCAGAGTACTAGAACGCGTATGCATGGCGGTCAAAAACTCGAACTAGTCGTGGACGAGTAGATTTTGAGACAAAGACTAGACGGAACGGGTCGACTTGACTAGAAAGAAAACCAGTCATTTAACTAGTCTTTTGCTCACTTGCGCATGTATCTAAATCGAATTTATATAATTATTTAAAAAATTAATCTATGCGTATTTACGAAAATGAACTGAAACAAAATGACTTTGAATGACATGAATAATGTCGACATCATTTTCATATATAGCCCGATTTTGCTACATGTAGGACCACATACTTTGATTCTGGGCAATTTAAGAATGTATCGCTAAGTAAGAATAGAGTTTTCTCAGTGATGAATTTCATCATGTCGACATAAAAAGTATTTGAAGATTTCTCTGAATTGAAGATTTTTCGTGAAGATCCGATTCGAGCTTCGCATCGCATTTCGTATTCGAGTGAAACTTGAATACCATCTAGTTTATCATCGAATAGATCAGTTCAATTGATTCGAGCACATTCAAGATAAAAATTTTCATTGTATTTTCTATTTATTTATAAAAACACCTTCTAAATATTGATAAAAATCGTTAGCTTTGATTTTCCTATATTTATCGAATCTAGTAATGTTTGAGAAATTTGTTTTTTTTTGAAAATTCCATTAATATGATTCAACAGATGAGATGAATAGTGAACATAAATATATGAAGTTCATCGAATTCGATTGAATTAATTGAAAATATTGGCACAGTTTGCTTGAAATTTGTTTTAAATTTTTCGTTTAAAGAAGGAAAATATAAAAATAAGTTACACATGTAAGCATTAAAATCTGAAGCTAATTTATTTAAAACCCAAAATAAATCAACAGAAAAAACGAAACATATAATCGATAATTATTAGTGAATTATCGATAAAAGAAAACTATTCTAATTTAATTAAAGACTATGATGAATTCAAAAGATGATATAGAACATGAATAAAAATAGTATTAATAATGATAATAAATGATTACATTGATACTGTGTTGCTGTATTTGTTTTGATAGCTGTAGTCTTTTGATTAGATAAATTTTGTAAATCATAAAAATCTTTCAAATAGTTATAAGTTTCATTTTCATCATATTCTAAAGCTTCATCATTTTCATCTACTCGAAGAACACATGAACCACATTGTTGTTTGGTTGGATATGGTACTTTTGGCCACACTGGATCATTTGATTCTACTTCTCCTCGAAGTGCTTTATTTACTCTGTTATGACCTGAAGATGAAAATAATTATGAAATTTCAAGGTTCATCATGATTTACACATTACCTCGCCACAAATATAATACATTTTCTCTAAAAGAATTTATTTCATTTTCTGCATTCGCGGTGCCAGTAAGAAAGTGTTGGACACACTCTTCACAAAGAAAAAAATTACGAATAAATTCACGAATCGATATAATCATATCCGTTGGTTGAACATTGGATGGTACTAAGTAAAAATTAGAATTTAAAAATCTACCTTCAATCTATTTCTTGATTAACTCACATTTATTGTTTTCGGCAAGTATAGCCTGTTTAACAGTCATACTATGAAATAGGACCCATAATGAACATGGATAACCACGTTTACTCGAATCAGATCCATTACAATGATCATATTTTATGTTAGGTAATTTGGTTGTCTATTCGAATAAATCAACAATAAAAGTAGTTTTCATGAAAAACTTAAATCTGAATTGAAATACTATTCTAATGAGAGTCTAGACAAACAGGGTTATTGAAATAGTACATGTAAGTCGACTTTTCTAAAGTTTAAGTAATGAAATAACATCGCAAGTTTATCAAATTATGAACGTTGAAACAAGAAATATTTCAATAATCAATCGTGTGAAGTGACGAAAACTATAGTTTTAGTTTGAAATATTTGATTTATCTAATTTTCAAATCAGTTAAAATCTAAAAATGACTGAAGTAACATCTTCTAGAGACCTCATGCTGTTTTATATGACGAGCTAGCTATAAAGTATCTTTCCTTCTGCCGAAAAACAAAATTATCATGAGTAGTACAAAAAAAGAGTCCACTTCACTACAATGAAGTTCATTGAACAAAAATTTGTTTGAAATTCTTCAATATATATTATAACCAATGTGCAGAACAACAGACAAACCTTTCTGGCATATTTGCATAAAAATTTCCTACATGACCATCAAATATCATTTTATCATGTACGAACTACAAGTTCATGCATAGTCTTATCAAATGACCTTTCCACTGCACGTAAGGCTTTGATAAGAAAGATATGTGGTACTGCATTTATGTATATATATATATATATATTTATTTTTATACTTTTAAATATTCACTGCGTTTCGTTTGAAAACTCTAGAAACTTATCATAGATTCTGAATAACTATAGTTTGATCTGAAAACATAGTTTCTTTTAGAATAATGAAATTTTTACAAGAGGAAATATCTTAAAATAGAACTTCAAAATAAATTTACAAAGTTTCACTATTAAAAGAAACACAAGCAAATCGAATTATCATATGAGAAATCAATGAGGTTGTTTTGTTTGTATTCTTTTACCTAGAGAAAATCTCTTATTCATGGAAAATATTTAGGAAAAATTTTGATACATTCTAGTTTTATGATTAGAAAATTGATGGATAAGAAAAATCTTTTTTTTCTCACGCGTTACGATGCATTTCGATTTTTTTATACAATGAATTTTTAATATCAATAGAATTATATGATAACTCAAAATATATATGAGATAAAAAAAGATGTCCCAATCTTTTTGGCTAATATTAAAAGAGTTTTTTAGGATTCAATGTTAATCAAAATGATGAAATATCCTAGAAATTACATACAGGTCTATTTTCTCTTGGGTGAAACATCTGTTTCATCGATACTGTAAATAAAGTAAAATTACCGATATTGAATTAATATAATGTTTAAGTTCTTGAGATGATAATGTTGTACGACTATTCATAAACTCAATTAGATCACTTAGAAAATTATTCATCGTTGCGCTTCCAGGATAATACTAGAAAGAAAAAAATGTTCATCTATTTTTCTATAAAATTATCATTATTACCATGTGAAGGACATTAAGCCAAGCTTTAACAGCTTCGAATGTAGCGGGTAATTTTCTATGAAGGTCTTTCTTGATCATCCAAGTAACAGCACTATCAACATCGGTCAAGGTCGGTTTTAGAGAACCGATTTTTTTTCTAATTAACAAAGAAAACTATTTATACTCGTAAAATGTTACCATAAACATATTATTACTCTGCATATGTGTCAGCTGCAGCTATTATATTCCTATTTAAAACAACTTTGTGCACTATATTTGTTGAATCAATTCTAAAAATAAATTGAAAATAATTTTAACAAAAAACCTTTCGAACTAACTGTTCAAGTGCTATTTGTCCATCATTGTTTCTCATTCCTTTCCAAATACCAATGCCTTGTGTGATTGGATTTTGTGTATTCAAACGATAAATTGGCTCTTGAAATACAGTTTTCGAATTATTTAATACATACTAGAAATGAAAATTTTTAATTAGAAGAAAAATAAAATTAGATAAAAATATTTACAAGACTGTAAGGTAGAATATCATCTGTAGCAAATAGTTGAAATTGTTTGACACGTCTTGGAATAATTTTATTTAAATCTTCTATGGTCTGTGGTCTAAAAACCGAAACTTTTTATGGCTGCTTTTTTCTTTAAAAAATAAAATATTTACTGAATTACATCACGAATGGGCCATGATTTTCCATAGCATTCGTGTGCAATTTTATTCATTTTTTTTAATGACCATACTAAAAAGTCTTCTGGTTTCGTATTTTCATTTCGCCGATCTGAATCAAAAGCTAACTGAGTGGAATTTGTCGCTGGACAATATATTCGCCATTGAGGATATCCTTTATCATGACAAATATCATTCTCTGTTAGTGATTCACTAGCACAGTCATGTGCACCTATTTTAATATATTTTGACCAACCTTAAATCAACCATAAATCATTAGATTTCTTTTTTGTTTCATGGGAAAATTTTTTACCTGCTGCATATTCGCCAGTAACTTCCCAATACGGTTGAATTTTTTTGCAAAAACTACAATAATTAAGATAATAGAAAATAAACCAAACTGAATGATTTATTTTTGATGTATTAGTATTCGCTTTTAATGATGATGTCCAATTAGATGGTATTAAATGTCTTGTATTAGACCATGACCATTTTTCACCATGTGCAACATGAGAAGTCCATGATGATGAAAAAACAAGAAAGACTATTGAAAGGTAGAAATAAGAACAAGACATCTACAAATTGTAAAGAATTGCTATAGATTAACGCGGAATGATTGAGTATATTGAAGAAACGCGATAGAATGAACCTTTTGATATACAAAGAGTATGCTATGTGATGGACCACTATAAATAGATACACGTAGAAATTATCGTTTATCTTATTAGCATGAAATATTCTTTTTTTCTTCTCTTTTATTTATTCGTTCGTTTATCTCTTCGTAGTATATATATATATATATATATAGTATATGCCTAGTTACAAACTCAAGGCATAAATATATGTTTTATCATCATTAACATCATCTATTTTCTCTGTGTAGCCATGAATTTGTTTCTTTTCTTTTGGACCAGCCCAGTCAGAACAACTGTACAATACATAGAGCAATCATCATCCATGCATGCGCATACTTTTCTTTCTCGTTTTCTCATTGATCAACGACTATTCATTAGTACTCGCAAGAGAAATTCCAAATGGATATACTCAACGAACTTATTAATGTTTCTTTGCCTTTTCTTTGACAACACATGAACATTTATTTTGTGTGTGCCCAACCATCACTTTTGTTGTTTTATTACTTTCAATAATTCATGCAACAATACAAATAATAATCCTCTCCCTTCGACTCCAATAGATACACACACACACGCACACAGGCACACATTAACAAGAAAGATAATTGTCAATAATCTTTCTTTTTTCCTTTTAGTTGGATCTTTTTGCTGGTTTAACTGCAAATTTCAAGTCATAACAACCACTGATACTGCCAATAGATGCACGAAGTTTCACATCAAAATCACCCACACTTATCCATGATAAAGTGCTTAAAAAAATGAATTGTTAACTAGATATAGAATAAAACAAAAAGAGAAAATATTTACTCAGGTGCTACAGGCACTGTAAGATCCATGTCAATATCGAGATCATTTGTCAATATATCCAATGGACACTCACAGTTGATGCCATGTACAGCAAGATTTGGTGGACATGTATCTTGGTCATGTTTAATGATACTTTTCAATAAAGTACATAAATCATTATATGAGCTAGAATATAAGGATAGCTAGAAATAATAAAACCAAGGATCAAGTACTAACCATGAACCAACATTTGCGCCATTATGCACATAACAACCAATAGGCAATCTAATTCCAGAAACTATACGTATAATAGTAAGATTAGCTTTAACAACACCGCGTATTCTTTCCGTAGCTGAAATTGCGAGCGAGAGTTTTCCAGTTCCTGGGTGAATAATAGGCATTGGGGTATAAGACAATCGACGGATTTGAACATTTTTCGATCCTAATTATATAAATATACAATGAATTAAAAAATTATAGTATCTATTACATACCACAATCGGAGTAACCCAATGATGTATAGGTCTGTGAACATGTATATGCTATTAAGCACATGAAAATAATAATCGAGCTATTCGATAGCATGATAATTATGTGTATTGTTGATATGATTTTCGTGTATTATCAACATGTGCCATCGAAAATAGCACTTTTTATACCATAAATCGAACAGCTGTACTGGTTCCCGAAATGCTTGTTTTTATGATTTGCAACCACCTACATTTTTCAGTATTATCACGAAATATTATGATATCAACTGATTTTGAGACTATAGGGACATTTGGACAAATTCAGGTCAATAGTAACGAAAAACAAAAGATCATGTCAATGAAAATCATCAATAAAGTGTATCAGAGAAACCACTATTGTTTTCGAATAGCCATTACGCTTTGATAATCCTCATTATATTTGAATTTATCATCGAATATTAATGTACTGTATTATCTAAAGAGTTCTATTTGTTGATTATATAATCTTTGATTAAGTATATATATATATATATATATATATATATGCAATCAATAAATGTTACTACTTCTCAAGAGATCTGGGTGATTTGTCATTGGATTAGTTGTAAATGTTAGCGTTCAATATCGCTTAGAGAGGAAATCAATAGGAAAATTCGAACTATAGTATTTAGATTGATATTACATGTGGATGTTGATCGGTGTAATAGCACAGATAAGTAATCTTTTTTCGTCCTTAAAATTATTGATAGATAAATCAAGTTGAAATTCTTGAATTTATGAGTGATTTTATACTCAAAATATCCTTGAATAGAAAATTTTTGATAAAACACTCGAATCTTTACTTGATTAATTCATTCGTCGATAATACTTTAAATTCAGATGTCATTATTTGCTGTCATGTGACCATTAAGCTGTCGACTATAACTTTCATCTATAGACTATTTTGAACTTTAATATTAATATGTATTTCGCTATAATATTGCATTTAGTCCTATTGTAAAAGTTAATCTATATACAAGAAAGCATTCAACGTGATTGTCATACTGAATTATTTGTCTATCATATTGATTTTCTATCATATTTTCCTACGAAATAAATATAACTCGACTGTTTTTCAGTATAAAAACTATATCTAATATTTGATATCGATGATATGTTAATCTATAGCTAAAAAAAATTATTTATCTATCGTCTGTTTAAAAATAGTAACATGTTATTTTCATTTGTGTGAATAGATATTTGTTTTAATTTGGCTATTAATTGTTTTTTAAATTCGACTTTTCAGTGTGAATGAAAAACATGAATGCTATAAACACGTTGTATTAAAATGAGTGCTAAACAACTATGCTGATATTTTCATGTGAAAGATAAGAAACATTTTATATTATACTCAACTCAAACATTTGAAGATCAAAATCAAAACTTTTCGTTTTCTGAAATCAAACGAAAGATTCTATTAACAAAATACAATATGAATTCATTATTTTATAGTATTTTTAGAGGAAATTGATTCTTATTTTTACTGTCTAATTCATCAATTATACTATGCCAATAGTGGCCAATGGAAAGAGCGCCACTTGGATTATGATCATTTTTTAATCATTGAGTCAATATGAGATAATATTTTCACAAGACTATAATTTCACTCAAATGATAAACGACATTTTATTTTAAAAAATTAATATTTTTCATGCTTCTTTTTAATATTATTCTTCAATCTAACAGTATGTTTATTTTCGTTAAAGAATTTCTCAAAGAAAGATTACAAAGTTATTTTTTTTTAATGTTCTTCTATTTCCATGTTTTAAATATAAAAATAACATGAAAGTTTATCGCTATTTGAGATAATATCAGTTTTCTAATACAATGGAAATTCACTAAAATATCATAGAAAAGTAAATGATAACAAGTGTATTTTTGAATTCAACTCGTTTCTATTTTTAGTATTCATATCAGTGTTAGTCTTTGAAAATATATTTCTTTGTTTTTGGACTTCTAATAAATTCATATCAACCTGAATAAGATTGATTTATTTCAATTTTAGTCGATGTGTCAATTGAACTGATTAATTCTTGATTGATTGACATTTTTGTGTAACGAGTCTTTCCGAGAAACATAGCATTATGCAATAAATCATTCTACTTCCTATATTATGTCAACAGTTGTATTGTGTGAGAATGTGAGCATTCGTCTTTGTTATTTTCTTTTTTTTTGTTATCTATTTGAGATACACATAGTCGAAAAGTGAACGCTGGCATTTTGTTTTCGGTTACTCATTCTATAACTCAATCAGGCGTGTTTGATGTTTGGTTATTGCAATTGTGTAGCACTTAAGCTTTTGTTTGGAAGTCATCATTTTGTCTTTAGTTTATACGTTTTGTGCAAAACAATAAAATGTACTGAATGATACAAATGAGAAAGCCTCATTGTTGATACAAGCATTTGGTAATTTTATAAAATAAATAAATGCGAAAACCTCGGATTTAAATCCGAGTGTTATGTGTACTTCAAAGAGTGAAAAAGTATATTCACTTTTTTTTTCTATAAGACATAGATCTCATCAAGATACATCCCTTGTCACTAAATTGCAAGGAGAAAATACAGGTGTGCTAAGTTAGCATGGACCACACTGTTTGCGACCATATCCGGTGACCACTGACTCTACTCTTAGAGTGATATAATATCTTTAGAAATCACAGAAATTAAGTTCAGATTCGTGTTTAGCTTGGAAAACTGGGCAAGAAGAGTTATTTTTGNCAATATATTTCTCATGCGATAATCCTTCTCATCTTCGAACTCGACTGAGACATTAATGAGGCTGAACTGTGTAGAAAATTTCATCATGATCTAACTCTCCTTTCGAGAGTTATCGTGTAAACGGACGGACGGACGGGCACACTGACCGATTCTAGAGTGTACTCACTTTTTTGAGTACACAAAAACTAGACAAAATACTCGTAGTGAAATTTTTAACATTAACAATGAGGCCATCTCTTTTTATTCACTGATAAAACCAGTGGTTTCATTTGATCAATTATGGATAATTTCTTTTCCGTGATGAAAAATAGTTTGAATTACAAAGTTTTTATTTTTCTAGTCGCCAAGAAACAGATTGACAAGAAAACATAAATTACAAGCTTGAATTTGTAAAAGAGAATTATTTCACAATTAGACACTTCGAAACATCATCGTAGTCTGTCAATTATATTCAAATCTGGTGAAAGATTATCGCATGAGAAATATATTGAATTTTTTATATGACATGTACAATCTAAAGATAACCGACTTCTTGTCGGCAATGTCATTTATCAATAAAACATGGCAACATATCATATATATATATCAGGAATCCTTGACGTCGTGTACAAATAATATTGTAGGCTTCATAGACAAAAACAACAAATGGCTAGTAACCAAATAGTTATTGTATCCTTGTTTTAGATCTTTATGAAGGATTCTTTAATCACTGAAGTAATACTAGAAATCGATTGCACACTAAAAAAAGAAATTCATCGTATTAACAGCATCGAAAATTGTTCAAAAATGATTGCTTTTTTTCTTTTTGTATCATCACAAACGATGTATTTAAAGAAAATATAAGTTGTTCTCATAGATTTTGTCGTATATTTTGTTTTCTGTAACAAATAAAATGCTACAGATAATGAGATGAAGATATTCAACAAAGAAAGAAGAAACATTCATTATATGAATTAACTATAATTTTAAAAAAACTGATTTTATTCTTTCAATTATTCATTGTGTAAAAATAAAATAAAACGACAATTTTCAAAATCTCTCAGTGGTCGTGCTTTATTTTTCTTTCCATAAACTTTACTTTCATGAAAAGGCCCTGTACATATTCAAATCTTTTCATGTGTTAAGTAATCTTGTAACAATTGACACGCATCGGGATCATATCGGAAGCTCTATATCAAATAAAGGTATATATGGAATTCATTTATTATTGACTTCATCGATTTCTACCTTTTTGTACATCATGATAGCTTGATTAGAATCTTTTTTTATACCATGACCAAGTTCAAGACATCTACCAAGAATAAATGATGCTATAGCAATACCTTTGCAAATATATTGTGGTAGACAACATGATGCTCGTGATAATTCATTAATATCATTCAAGGCAGATACTCTAAAAATATAGGAGAATAAACGGTTGTTAGTCTTTATTTATTTCTTTTTAAATATGAAATTACCTTTTTGCTAAATCTGTAGCTTTTGTGAATAATTTTCTCGTATAATAAGCATAAACAAGAAGGCCTATAGCCTATAAATATTAACTTGATTATTTTTATTAGAGTATTTTCGAATGTTTAAACTCACATAAATATTTCCTCGTTCAGATGCTTGTCGTAAACAATCAATAGCTTGATTAATATCTTTACTGGTGCCAATACCAAATAAATTCATAGCACCCATTGCTCCTATAATTTTACAATTAGTTCTCGAACATTATTATAAATCTAATAATAATTTTTACCGAGACTTTCAAGTGATCCATTTCTTGATGCTTGATTATGCCAATACAATGTTTTATTTAAATTATAGGCATCTGTATTTTTTCTTGAATAAAAAAAAGCAAGAGCTGTTTGAGCTTCTATTACTGCTTCATGTCTATCATCACGAGCTGCCAATAACCACCAGCTAATATTTAAGACTTATAGTGAGAGTTAAGGTTATTTCTTCTTTTCTATTACCTTTCAGCTTTTTCGTCAGATTGTTCTACACCATAGCCTTGAAAAAATGCTTTACCTAAATGAAATTCTGCATACGGTATTAAAAAACTGTGTGGATCTTTTTCTTTCGATGTTATTTCAAGCATCATTTGATAAGCATCTTTCTAAAAATGATTGATAACGTTTCGATTTTCATAAATAAAGTATTCCTTAACTGGAGTACAATCTTTTGGTGCTTCTCCTTCAAAACACATAACAGCAAGTTGATAGAATGCTATAGACAAAAGAAAAAAAAGACAACTGACTTCAATCAAAAATAAAACAAAAAAAAGCTTAATTTTCAAGAAAGAAGATCTACCTCTTAGGTCAGCATGTTGAATTTTTGAATACCATCTCCATGCTTTATCATATTGTTCTGTATCATAATAAAATTGTGCCAGAAGAAAATGTCCTTCACAAGCGTGACATTTACATTTAGTGGGATCATAAACATTCATTCGACATTCACATTCACTGAGTGTAATTAAATCATTTTCAATTGCTTCCTCTTGACCATTCTGACGTAATAATTCACGCGTATTATCTCTCTATTGATATTATTGAAATGAAATAGAAATAATTATCTTGATTAGGACTTACAAGAATCAGTCGTTCTATCATAAATTCTCGAGCACCTAATGCCTGTGGAACAGGTGCTGAAAATTTCTCACCAATAGGATTTGCAGACATTTTTCTACAATGAAATCGAAGACAAAGTCGTACTAGAACTAAAAACAAATGAACCTATCTGGAATAAATGTATCAATTTATAGTTTATTATTCGTTTTTTCGGAAAAAGAAAATGATGTAGTATATCAGTATGAATTCATTAATTAAATCCAAGTGAATTAAATATATGATCTAGGATATATGAACTCGATATTTTAAATATCATTCATCATATTTGTAGGTCAGCTGTCAAAGAGTAGAGTGAATATTTTTCAAAGTAGTATCAAGAATATTATACAAATTTTTCGTGATTTTGAAGATCTGATCGGGTGCATTAGTATAACTTAAAAATAAAATATCGTTAATTCGAATCACGGATCAGTCGATAATTCCGAACTAAAATTAGTTTCATCAGAAATCAATGGAGATATTCTGAAACACAATAAGATCAAGTAATTCTATTTTTCAATAAAGACTTTTATTTAAAAAATGTGCTAGAAAATCTCTCCATATTCTTGTTCTATCAACTCCCAGTTTGAATGTGCAGTTTTTCAAAGCAGTCTCTTAATGACATTGTATGTGTTCAATTTTTTAGAAATTCATATTTCTATTTTAACATCTGTGGAATTCAATCAGAGATTAATTCCACTGTGAATAAGTAATTGTGATTGTGAATAATTTTAGATGTTTATTTATAAAAGCTGATGTTAGTTTCTATTGTCTTGGTAAAACAATATGAAAGTTCAGCATGTTGAGTTTGCTCTTCTTAATTTGTTATACAACTGCAGTACCTGTGCCGATTTATTTCATTATGGAGTTTTCTTACTTTTTTTTTCTGTGTAAATAGCTAGAAACAAGATATTCTGTCACAAAAAAAGTTATTGTTTATGCTGTTTATAACAAAGAAAGCATCACAAAAATATATAAACCCACTGGATTGAAAAGCTATCTTTCTTGTCAATTTCTACAAATCTTATTCAACAATATGAGTTGTTATACTCAAGAAAAGGTTGATCTAGTTTTAGAGTTTGGTTCAATTAGAAAAATACATTTGATTGATATTATATATCAAAAACAAAAATTCTATGAAAACAAATTTTACAATTGAATTTTTGATATTCAATCTTGAAATTTAGCAAAAATATAACTCTAAACATATGTATATAATTATGATGAAAGTATTTTATTCTAAATTTGTCAGAACCTATTATTTTATAAGAAAGAATATCAATTTTCCTTATGAAAACTTTTAAAATTATGCTTAAAAATCTTAGTTTGGCATAGAAACTATAATTCTATGTTTATAATTACAAAATTGAGATATTCAATAAAAGACATGCTACTCTAAAATATATTTCAACTTGATTGATTTTGTGCTACTTTCAAGTTTACAAATAATATTATTTAAAAGAAGAAAATTTTTGTCGAGTATCTTCCAGTTTTCTGTCGAGAGCCCGTCTGAATAAATATTGACTTTATTTTAAAATAAAATAGTATTCAATTTTATATTACCTTTATTTGCAAAAATGTAAGTCCTGAGATTTCAAAATTTCTAACATTATAGTAAAAACAAAAGTATCCGTTAGTAACCAAAATCTTTCGTTCCTGCTGCCCGATGCCATTTACTCTATTTTTGTGATGGAAAAATCTCCAACCAGATAAATTCTAATTTAAAAAATCTAAATGAAATAATCTCAAATCTCTTTCTTTTTTAAGATAATTTCCTATTTTTCTAATAAGATCAAATTTATTAATTAATAATATCCGTCAACTACCACCATCTGTATGCGTCATCTTCGTTGTAAGGCCATCCAATGAGATTAAGGTTTTTTCTATTTGTTTTTCTTGGCTCGTTCTCCTCAGAGAAAAAAAACTTGCAAACTAGATGAGTATTTTTTCAAGTTCTTTGTTCTTTTTTTTCTTCTATCTGTAAAATTTTTATTCTTCATGAATCATTATCTATGTGTTTATAAGTAGTACCAGATATGTTATTTTTTCTTCTAATCTGTTGTTTATTTTTCTCTGACCGATGGAAGAATAATAAACATATCTAAAAATGAATCTAATGTCATAGAAGTAATAAAACGTATTTTAGATTTATTTTTATTACAATTAATGGCGGCATCGAATAAAACAACAGCTGTCTATCGGCTAATTATGGTAAAATCAAAAAAATGTAAATCTTTAATAATAAAACAATTTATACTTTGTTTAGGTTGGAAGTGGTGGTGTAGGAAAATCAGCTTTAACACTACAATATATGTATGACGAAGTAAGTATCAATGATTTTTAACTTTTTTCTTCTTATGAATTTCAAAAACAAAAAATCTTTTAGTTCGTTGTTGACTACGAACCAACAAAAGCAGATTCATACAGAAAAGCAGTTATGCTTGATGGTGAAGAAGTTCAAATTGATATATTAGATACCGCTGGTCAAGAAAATTATGCTGGTTTGTTCGAAAATGTTTGCAACTTTAGAAATATGATTCTTTCTTGTTTTATTCAATTTTTAGCTATCCGTGATACTTATATTCGTAGTGGTGAAGGTTTTCTTCTTGTTTTTGATGTGACTGACGCTGAGTCATTTAGCGATCTAACCGATCTTTAGTAAGTAGTTGAACATTTTCATTCAGAAACAAAAACAAAAATCTATTTTTTATTACCAGTGAACAAATTTTACGTGTCAAAAATGGCGGAACGAATATTCCAGCAATATTAGTGGGAAATAAAATTGATTTAGCTGAAAGACGTAAAGTAACTCTTGATGAAGCAGAACAAAAAGCACGTACTTGGTCTATTCGTTATATTGAAACATCAGCAAAAACGAAGCACAATGTTGATAAGGTACGTAAAAATAAAAATAAAACTTCAAATAAACTAATATTCTTTGTTTTCAAAGGTTTTTTGTGAATTAATGCGTATTGTACGACCATTTAAAAATCCAGTCCGAGACCCTGGTCCAGCAGCACCGAGACCAACGAAATCACCTAAAACAAAAAAAGACAGAAAATGTATTATTTTATAAGAAAAAATAATTACTATTAATCAATAGATTTATCTATATATTTCTTTTTCTTCTTACTTATCACATATTCATTCGATTGAACATCAAATAACAGTGAAGAAAAAAAAACAATACTTAGAAAAAAGAATAACACAAGTTTTTGTTTTTTTGTGCAATTAATCGTTTTCTTCTTTTTTTTTCTTTTTGTATATGTGTTTCACTCAGATTCGCGAGGATAAATACACAAAATCACATATAAACACGATTTATTTACTATTTCTTCCTTTTTTTTGTACACATATACATTTGGTTGTTCTGCTTCAAACAAATGAATAAATAAATAAATTTCATTTAGTTTAATCAATAAAAATCACAAGAACAAATAAATAAAATAGTTATTTTGCTATTTTTTGGCCAAGCTGAAAATAATATTTGTAATTATTTGATCTAAAGAAAATGATCTGTGATTTAATACTATTTGTTTCTGAATATCAAATTTTTAAATGTTTTTTATATGTTTTCGGGGATAGCAATGTCGTCAAGGCTGCAATCTTCTAGATATGAATGAAAAAAAGGTAAAGTTATTTTCCACGACGCAACCCAAAGAGCCTACGGCATTGTTCGACAATAAAAGAAGTCGATTGTACATTGATGACGAATGAAAGTTTCAAACATTGTCCTCAATAGAAGTTCGACTTCTCTATGATGTAAGTGTGGAGATTTTTAAGAAAAGGGATTTTTTGATGCACTGTCTAGTCTATTTTATAAATTTCACTGATAAAGATCTCGCAAAAAATCAAAAATACTTTTATAGGTTCAGTAAATAATTACAATTCTTTGAGTTTTTTAACTTAAAATCTTCAAATTTAGACATGTTCACCGTAAATATCCTAACCATAAATTTAGCAACGATGTTGAACCATGATTGTTTCAAAAGGAGTCGTGTGTGCATGAATTTCATATTATTTCATATTTAACAGAGTTCATAGGTCGCTTTCATCATGATGATTCCGTTTATTTACATACTTCTTGAGGTTTTCAAAACAGAAGCAAAACAGCCTTTATAAAAAATCACAAAAGTAAATTTTTAAGGATTCATGTTTTCTTTAAACGCTTGAAATGTCATTTCCCAACACATGAAGATCTAGATATTGAACAATATCAATTGATTTGTTCAAGCTTGTAATGAAAATTTGAATACCATTTTCAATATCAAGAAGATCTTTCTATATTTTTGATTTGATAAATTAATTCTTTCCTCTATACTTACTCTAAAATATTTTAAAAGTAGATCAATTGGTGTTAAAAATAAAAAGAAGTCATAGAACAGATATACTTTGAAATCCTGTAAGAGATTTGTCCTTTGTTTCGATTGGTAGTTCCTTATTTTTTACACTATGATATAATCTTTTCTTTTTGACACAAAAATTGATCAATGTCATAATACAAAACTATGATATTTAATCATATTAATAACCAAAGGCGCGTCAGTTCATTATGAGTTCCGAACATCAAAAGAGCAGTCTTGGAAAGAATCGTACAGAAAAGAATTTCTTCGTCATCACTTTGTTGATACGGTTATTTTAATTTCTAGTTATAGATAGAAGAAAAGCTATCAATTGTTAAATAGTACTTGTTTGGTTCTTTCAACTAGAAAAAGAAATCGGTCGGATCATCAGTCTTTACTCAATTTGAATTGGCATAAGATAAATTCTTACGCAAGTCTTCATAGAATTTACTTGCATCTAGTTAACATAGAAAGGTACTAAATTTGATTACTATTTATTTATTTTTACATTAGTTAACAGTAGAAATGATAAGGTGTTACTTATCTATCGTAGATATATTTTTCATCAAGTTAACTCAGAAGAGAAATAATCAAAAATAAATCATGATCAATAGATACAATAAAAATTCGTACATAATTTTACATCTAGTAATTTTTATTATCGTTGATAAAAATTGTATTCAAATTTCTTTTACCAATACGTATTGATTCATCTCATGCAAGTCATTATTACTCATATGCTGACAAATTTTGTGACAGATGTTATAATCATTTGTATTAGTCACTACAACATCAGATTTTAATTCATTGTTGCATGCGAGTGGGTTGCAAACCGCGCCCCCCTGTGACGGCACCGTGTGTCGTCACATGTCTTGTTTCTAATTTCGCGCGAGTTTCTCGCTATATGTTCTTTTTTTCTCTCTCTCGTCTTCATCGCTTTGTCTTTGTCGCGTTTTGAAATTGAATTATGTTATGTTTGGCGCGTCTAGTCAGTTGATACATTTTGTTCTCTCTATGAGAGTGTGAAAATTATTACAAGAGCTTAAAGATATATATAATACATTATNATCAAAATGAAAATACTGATGATAATAATGAAAATTCATTATGGATGTATCCAGATGCTTTACCACTTATCTACGATGCATTAAATTTTCGAAAAAATTTACAACCATATTTATAGTCTACAGTTACAGAATCTATTTGAAGAAATCATTATTGCTATGCAAGATTGTCAGTGGCATTGATAAAGAACGATAACCTTCAACAAGAGATGGAGAACGATGTTGTAATTGTCTAATACGAGCTGTTTGCTCTTGAAAAGAACTTTTGTATATATAAAGAATAGGAAACAATAAAAGTACGATATTGAAGTCCTCAGATCGAATGATCAAAATTATGAGACAATAAATAAATAAAAGTAATATGCCTTTTAGTTTTAGCAAGAGATTAAAATGAAGTCATCTATGATGAGAGTTCGTTGTTATAAATCAATGATCTGATTTTAAAAAACAATATGAATAAAATAGCCATGTATGTGTTTTGATCACGAATGAAAGATTGCCTTTTGTAATTGAATGATGATCATGATATCCAATTTTAGTTGTCAGTAAAATGAGTTTTAACTTATTCTGTACTATCACATGTACAAAAAACATTTTTTCTGGAGCAATTCTATTGGCAAGCAATAAGATCGATACAATTTGCATACAGCATGAGTTTGCCTCATCCTATCATAATCGTACTACTAAAACCTGATACCTATTATCAGAACTGTATCGCTGCCAATATTGAAATTATGTTTTTTTATTATTATCTATGAATCAATCTTTAATGTTAAGTTTAAAAGGTAGAGATGAAGTCAAAAACGCGTTTAGCAAATTTCTATTATCAAGATACGTTGTCTATTGTACGAGATAAAAGTCAACGTCGGAGAAAAACTGAGTCATCTTTCTCGCGTTCTTGAATTTTTATTCATGTGCATAATAGCCTTAGTCATCAAGCATTGCAATGAATCACTTATATAAATTTGTATGAACTTCTATTCAGTACACAAGGGGAAAACAGCAGACTTTTGGACTTCAAGTTACTTTCAGCTACTTCAAGTAGTTTACTTTGAAGTACTTTTCAGTTTCAGATTTACCTGAAGTGCTAGAGATTACTTCAAGCTACTTCAGCTGCTTGATCCAACTTTGAATTACTTCAAGCAGCCTACTTTGACGTACTTTTCTACTTCAAGTCTGCCGTTTCCCCTTGTCAGTATATCTAAAATTGCATGTTACTATTATTTTATATTTAATACAAAAATATAATCATATAATCAGAACAAATATATTTCTTCTTTCAAAACTGGAGATTGTTTGCTTTCTTTTCCCATAATAAAGTAAATAACAATAAGTTAATTCATTGTATCATGAGCAATATGCACAGTGTTTGTACCAAGGGGAAAACTACTGATTGAACTCAGTTAAACTCATTTTAAATCACAAACTCAAAACTAGTAGTTCCCCCTTGATCTAGACACTTGCAGTCAGTGTTTACAAGAAACATAAATTTGCTTTAAATAATTTCGACATTTTACTCCGTGATGCTTTGCCTCGCTGGCAATGCCTATTTCAACACTCATACCATATTCAAATCTATATTTTCATAATACGCCGTGTGCATGATGTGAATTGAAAATTTTCGTGTAGACCATCACTTTAGATTTACCAAATATATAAAATATGATGAGAACATCATATACATTTTGAAAAGTAGCATTATAGTAAAATCGTTTAAAAAAATATCAATGTTTATTTTAATAAACAGCAAACAGCCAATATAATTTCTGAAATCGAAAATAAACGAAAACATGATCACACTATATCGCAAACATAACCAATTATGCTTGATTGATTACAAACGAACGTTTCTCATGACTTGGAAAACGCCATTGAACAAATTTTGGTTTCCCTACAATAACAAACGTGTCAATATGTATTTGCTGTTGATTACATGAAAGACGGATTGCTCGTAAATCGACTTTTCCCCCTGATTCATTAAAATAATCCATTGTTTCACCATCGTCATCATATAAATTGAATTCACTAGTACCATTTTCTTGAAATGGATAAATACGTATTTCAAAATGTTCGTCGGTTTCGAAAGGTAATAATGCACCTTCTCGTACAAATAAAGGAAACATATCTAATGTTGCCGATACTGTTAGAATTTGTCCACCATCATAAATTTCATCGGTCCAAAAATTATACCATTTTGTACCTGATGGTAAATATAATGTTCGACTAATGGCATTTTCTTCATAAACCGATGCAACAAGTAGCCACGGCCCAAGAAGAAATTCAAATGATTGATCACGACATTTAACATCTGATTGAAAATGATAAACAGTCGGACGAATTATTGGATGGCCCGTCATCATAGCTTCATGTAAAAGTGAATATAAATATGGTTGTAAATTTTTTCGAAAATTTAATGCATCGTAGATAAGTGGTAAAGCATCTGGATACATCCATAATGAATTTTCATTATTATCATCAGTATTTTCATTTTGATTTGGACGCCATGAATGTACACAAAATCTTGGGTGAAATATTCCATTTTGTATCCATCGAACAAATAATTCAAGGGAAGGTTTTTCACCAGCAAATCCTCCAATATCATGGCCGATTAATGGAAAGCCACTTAGAGATAAATTTAAACCCATTGGAATATTATATTTTAATGTATGCCACGAACAATAATTATCTCCTGTCCATGTACCACCATATCTTTGAGTACCAGCGCATGCAGCACGCGTCAATAACCATGGACGATATTTAACATTCGTCGTTCTTTGTGCGTCATACGATGCTTTAACCATTAGTATAGTTTGTACAGGTCTCATACTTTCCATTAATTCACCATTAAAACATTTGGCACGAGAGTTTTTTATATTAAATTCATTATTATCATTCCATGTACAATCAATACCGTTAGCTAACAATTGTGATGTAACTTGACTTTTCCACCATATCACAGTATCTGGATTAGTAAAGTCTAAATGTGCACCGAGACCACCCCAAAATGGTGCAAGATCAGGTTGATTTCCATGCTCATTTTGTATAAACAATGAGCGACATTCATCAAAAGCTGGATGTGTCGTAAGCATAGCTGGTTTGATATTTGCTAATATTTTCATATGAGCCTTGTGGAAATTTTTTGTTACAGTCAATGGTGATGGAACACGCTTTTTATCCCAAACAAAAACATACCGCTTACCATCATCACTATTCATTGAATAACCCGATGATAAATGAAAACCGGTACATTCTATATTATATTTTGAACAATTATCAATAAATTTTTTAAGTCTAGTTTGTGCATCGGATGCATCAGTATATTTCATAGCTGAACCTAAATAGCCAAGTGTCCATTTTGGTGCTAGTGGACAACGACCTGTTAATTTTGTATATTGCTCAATTACATGTTCAATTAAAGGTCCATTAATAAAATAATAATCAAGATCAGGATCTTTCGTTTCAAAATACAACATATTACCATAGTAATTATCTATTTCACAACCCATATCAAAGGTACAATCATATGTTGTATCATAAAATAAACCGAATGCAGAATCGAAACGTAATGTTATATAGAAAGGAATATGTTTATAGAGCGGATCAGTATGCTCAGCATTATAACCCATTGCATCCATATTTCTCATACGATATCGACGAAATTTTTTATCGATTGGACCAGTTTTTTCACCTAAACCATAGTAATAATATTGATCATCAGTGGTTGGTCTTGTTAATGTATGTCGAAATTGTTGTGTTGAATCATGATATTGATAACTACAAATAGGATTATCCTGTAAAAGAATTTTATTATTTACTATCCAAATTATTGCAAATGGTTTATGCAAATAAATTTTACAAGTAAGCGTCTCAGTAGATATTAATATTTGATTGTCATCATCAATAATATTATAAAAACGAGTCTCATTATTAGTATTTGCTGTAATTTCGTGACGCAGACGGCCTTCATATGGAACATCATTTGTATCTTCCTCAACAATAGACCATGTGCGTGTAGTAACTGGTTCTCCTCTAGGCCAAACTCGAACACGAATAAGATTATTAGTTAAAACAGTGATCGTGTATTTTGACGGCGAATCATTTTGTGAAAAAGTTATACTATTCGTTTTATCGTCTCTTGTCCAATGTAGAGTCACGTGTTCTATGGAATCTTCTAAAAGCATTATCTAGAAAGATATATATATATATATATACGTATATATAGTAAAAACAAATTTAGAAAATAAAAATAAAGAAATCGCAAACGAAATTATTAAGCTAACGAAATTAATCATCTGGATATCGCGTTCCATTGATTGTCCATGATGTTGGCGTAAACTGTTTCACAATTGTTTGCACACGTTTTATATGTTGTTCTTCGAGCATTTCAGCTACACTTTGTAAGCTATTTTGAACTGCATATGTACCGACTACACCTGCTGCTTGTCCTATTGAAAATTCTACTGGATGTAAACGTGTTGCTGAATTAACTAGAAATGTTTGTGCCATGGTTTTACCAATTACAATCAGATTATCAACATCTCGATTGGTCATTGCTCGTAGTGGTATATAGTAGGGAAGTATTGGGTAATTTTCGTGCATATAAGATGGATAAGTACATTGACCCATCGAATGAATATCAACATTATAAGCACCAACGCACAAGCGATCGTCAAAAATATATCCATGTAAATCACGTGCATGACCACTAATAGTTGTAATATTCATTAGAAAATTTTGATAACCGATTGATCGACGTGATTCTCGTAAATAAGGCATTTTTGCTAGACCATGACAAGTACCAGCTGCTGAAACCGATCGTATGAGAACTGTTCGATTTGTCCATTGTGTTGGTGCATTTTTTCGATACCAATAATGATAACCGTAAGCTAGTCGTTCTGCATTTTTGATTGCATCTAAATTCAGTCCACCTTGCCATTGATCTATATCACGTTGATGTCGTGTATCAGAAGGGGATAGAAAAAAATATTGATTTCGATAATCATTCCCTCCTGCCCAATTCTGTATTGTTAAATCATGAACCGCAATTGTGTTCGAATCTGGCGCAGATGTATTTACTCTTCGATATGTCCATATACGTTCCCATGTGAGAGATTCAAACGAATAATTTGCTCCTCCAGTTGGTTCTGGCAATGGATTTGGTAACTCATCGACAGGTGTCTCTCGTAGTTGTTCAAGAAAATCGAATGTAAATGATTGACCACATGTTGAATTTCCGACACCAGATGTATCACCATCGAACTGTTCCATTAAGCCTTGTATATAACTTGCATTTGATAATACTAATACTTCACCCCACGAGGTACCTTCAATGACAAATGAAACATTTCTAAATGATAGTTGAGTTTTATTAAACCATGCAGTATCATCTGACGAGTACCAATCAGATAGCTCTTCAGATAAAAATCGACAGTGTGGAGATGTTAAATTCGTAGTACGTTGTATTGCATCTACTTGAATTATACGACGACCAGTTACATCTTTAGCAACACGTTTTATTACAGTATTATAAAATATACGGACGTTGCTTATTACTGGTAATACTACTTGCGAATGAAATAGTTGAGGAATAGAACATTTTGGTGATACCCAACAACGACCAGTATCTCCAAGAACATTAAGCATATGTGCAAAGAGTAGATTTTGATTATCTAATTGTCCATCAATAGCACCAACATCGAGAGTAAAATTGGTATCCTTATCTTTAATTGTGTGATAGGCAAAATCGGGCGCACTAAGAAGTTCAGCTGTTAATTGCCCGCCAACCCAATCTGTTGGTTCAAGTAAACATGTACGTGTATTTAAAATTTTTGAAGCCGATAGTGCAGCGCCGAGTGCTGATGTTGTACCACCAACAATTAACAATTGACAATCATCAATAGTACGAATATTCGAATAAATCGAATGTATTCTCATGAACAGTATTGGAATAAGTGCAAACAACATATTTTTTTATAAACTAATCTAAAGACTAAATTATAAGGTAAAACTCTATGCATGATTGAATTGTACATTATTTTAACAAGTGCTATCAGATGAATATTGCTTTGTAGCAACTAGTTTATTAATGTAAAAAAACTTGAACCCTTTTCAATATATAAGTAAAATGGTTATTGATGTAAGAATGCCTCATGTATCATAGTGATATTTTTAGTAGATGAATCTTTCTCTCTCTCTCTCTCTGATAGTCATTTATCATATGTTTGTAGAAATTTCCTAGACTCATTAGTCATACCGACCTATAAGTAATAACAAAGAAATTCGGTTTGATCAAGTGAAAGCATTCTGAAATAGATACCATAAATATCTAGCAATAGAACGACTTACTCATGCTTAAGGATTTTTCATATTCTTCCGCAAATAAATATAAGAAAAGCATTATGTAGTAATTGATTTACCAGGAAAAAACGGTTCACATCATTTGATTGTTTTCATTATCTATCTATTTGTCGATCGTTAGTAAATCAGCAGATGCGCCAAATTGATATTTGGCAATAGGAAAATATTGATGTTATTATGATATCATGATCTAGACGGTATCATTTTCTGTTTCTCGCGCACTTACAAGCAATCAAACCAATTCAAGTATTTTATTTAGCAATATGACATTGATTGGCGTAGATGCCAGTTCCATTCACTAAATATTTAAACATGCCGAGAGAATTTATCAAACTGTACTATCGTACTGTAGAAAAAAAACTATGTACTATTGTGATTAAAACATCACTTAGCTAAGTAAGTTTCATTTTAATAGTATTCGTGCTGGTATAAGGCTTGTTGTTTAAGTGTAAGTTGAAATTATTTTTGATCTTTATTTTAATCTAGATAATGAATCATAAAAGTATTTTTTTTAAATGGTTCAAAAAGTATACTTTCTTAGAGTTGCTTGTCAAATTAGATAGAAACAAAGAATAAAAAAAAAGCCTGATAACGCATCTTATTACTGTGAAGAGTTTAGAACAACGAATTTGAGTTGAAAATAAACTATATGTGAATATTACTAAATGAATTAATTACTCACTTGCTTATATTTTCTTTCGTCACTCGTGCAGACTCGATGAAAGATGAATGTATTTTTATCGGTAAATCGGATAAAAGGATATACATTCACAATGGAAGAACAATGATAAAGTGCAAAGAAAATTTTTATTCGTTGCTTCATCTTTATACTACTAGTTACATTACATTATCATATCTTCACATTACTCTATTAAACGATATGATAACAGATAGCAACAGACGCTTCGTTTTCGTAGTTTTTCTTTCATATCTGCCTTCTATTTTTAATAAATCAAATATTTGAAGTTCCACTTTTTTTTGCCATGAATAGACTTTTTCATTTAAGTTTCAATATGAATGATGTCCCCCATATCATCAATTACGAAAAATTGAGAACACAGTAGTTCGTGAATTATTTCATTAACTGACTAAAGAAGAAAGACATGCGCTTGGTGTGTTAAGTTTTATTTTAAAATAACTGTCAATCATGAATAATGTTATTTTCTCGATGATTCATTATTCAAATGAAATATCTAAATTGCTATAATCGAGTAATTAGTAAAAGATTTTGCTACTAATCATTAGGATAATTTTATTCGAAAATCTCTCTGTTGAAACTCAAAATTTTTCAAAAACATATTTTTCATGTTGGATCAAATTAATAATGAACAATATTAGTGGAATTCTGTAATAGCATCAACCGAAAAGAAAACGAGTAATAAATAAATGAAAATGAAAATGTTTACTTTTTTATGATGCTGTGTACACCATCTATTATGACAATCGAAAGATTCTCACTAGTAATTTCACAAGTCTTACATGCTTGCTTTTTTAGTATAGTTCAGCTACATGTTAAAAATCATGTCAAACTGTATCTGTCCTAACTACATCTGTAATTTGCTCTTTTGTAAATTCCACTAGATGCAAATAAGTTGCCAAATCAACTAATAACATGTTTACCAAGATTTCTTAATCGTAGTCAGACTATCATTATCTGGATTAGTGCATAGTAACTAAAGGTCTCTAGTAGGAAAGTATTGCACAGCAGTCGCGTCTAAATAGTGAATAATTACATTGAAGTATAGGATAGTATCAACATCATAAACAGCTACACATAAATATTCACGCCAACACATCTACGTGAGATTATATGTATGGTCACTAGTAGTTGAAATGTTCGTTCGAAAACGCCACAACTCAATAAGTGGTGTGAATTGTGTAAATAAGATACCTTGGACAAAAATGAAACCATTTTCATCGTGAAATATGATCGACTAATTATTGCTCAGATAGTATCTTGTACAGATGTATTTTTTCCAAAACTAGTATTAATGTCTTTAAACAGATCTTTTACTTTGTCGTGCTATTCGCTGATAACATATGGATGTTTCATATCCGATGAGAACCGCGAAGAAAACTCTATAACAATTCTTATTTCTAGTACAGTTTTGAGCGCTTAAATCACTGAAAGAAATATCAAGTGTATCTAAAGTATATCTATGAATTCATATTCACATAATATTAAGTAAACTAAACAGACAATGAGTACCTCGCATAGAACCAAGTAATACCCGATATTCTGGCTTTTCGCTTAACATTCTTCATAATTTTTTAAGAGAGTCAAATGTAAATGATTCGCCACATGTTACATTTCCAATGGTAGAAATATTATCATGGAATGATGCCATTAAACTTTGTAAATGATTGGTGTTACATGAGAATGTTACTTCACCACAGGAAGTATCTTGAATCACAACTGATATGTTAGTAAACTATAGTTAAGTTTTAATAACCCATACGCTATCATCTGGTGAATACCCTTTAGGCAGTTCTTCACAAAAAAAAATAGACCACATACAAGAAATATTTGACGTATTAAATGCTATATTGACTACATTATAATTACATGACGATCATCCGCATCTTTAATAACACTTGTAACAGCAGTGTTATAGGATATATGCGAACACAATTTATTGCTAGTAATACGGCTTCAGAATAGAATGCTTCAGAAATACAATATTTCGATGATGCTCAACAGAGTATGTACAGTAAAATTACTATTTTATAGTGTTGACTGCACGAAAATCAAAAGCAGACATAGCCAGTAGTTCATATTTTTAAGTGTTCATTGAATACATCTGTTGTTTCGAATAACACAATGTTTGAAATATCAATGTACAGTTATGCTTGTCAGTAGTTGTATATTAAATTGTAACCTGAGAGAAAAAAAAGTGCAGGAAAATAAAAACGAATTTTTTTCCGATTCGAAATAGTTTCTTTAAGAGTAGCGTATGTACAACATTTGAATAATGAAACATGAGTAATATAGGTAACGAAGTTCAGTGTAGCATTTAGGAAAGATGAGAAATGTGCTGGTCTCTTTTGACGTACTCATCGTTTGACTGACAATTAGTTAGACTTTTATCTATGTTACATTGGTTTCTAAGAGAGTATTTGAGAACAATAGTGATTGATTTGATGATAACGACTATCACTACTTCACTTGATCTGAAATGTGTTCGTCAGCAATTAACTCGAGAGTTCTATGATTGTTTAAAAGAGACTTTCAAAATTTTTATTTTTATTGTAAATTTCAACTTCTGATTGTTAAAGCATTAGTAGGGCTGCTTTGAACTGTATGATTCGTACAATTTTCTCAATCGTAACAGAATACCATCTGAATGTATCATCTTAATTGTTCTACTTACGAATGTATCAAGTTTTTTTAGCCAACATATTCATTTTTATTCAAATGTGAATATATTTCTATTCCTGCTTGAATATAGTAAGATCATCTAAAAAATGCTGCTTTTTTTATAGATAAAGCCACACAGTATAGGACTAATGAAGTACTTTCTAGTGAAACTATGTGAGTCTGCCATCATACTTGCTAACATAGAATCCAGTACAACATATGCTAATTGAATAGTGTTATACTTGTAGAATCAAATCACCATTAAATGTTTTGATATAAGATAGTAATCGAAATATTTATGAATGTGCCCTTAATTGCTGTACTCCATGCATGCTCCTGCCATTAATACTGATTAGTAAATTTTTCCTTGTCACTCATTTGATAGTCAGTTTTAATATATTCGCATCATGATGAAACTTAGAAGATGATATTCCTCCGATATTTCTGTCATTTTCTGTTGTTATAAACAATATTTGACCAGTTTATTGAATATTCAATGATGGACGTCCTCATAAAAGTAAAATTTAGAATCAAACTGCATTTAAGAGAAATTCTCTATCTTTGGTCCTGTTGGGCCACAGACTTTGTACTCGTTGCTACATGTCAAACTTAAGAGGTGACAGCTATTATCACATCATTTATTTGCAATATTTCTCTAGTCGAATATAGATAGTAGATTTGTAAGCGCTAGAATAGTTTCTTCGTGGTTTTCATTACATAGTGTAATGAAAATAAGCATTTTTAACGAAAAATGACTACCAATGATTTAAAACTATTTTATGATGAAACAATGAGCATATCTACCAATAGCGCTGTTCACTGTAGCCAATACTTGATCAATCGCTTCATTGGGCGTCTCCTCCCCCAAAAGGTTAGTTTATCTGGTATGCCTGGAGTGCATAGATATTCATACTAATATTTCTGTCTTGAAGTTAATGATGCTTTTTATCATTTTATAGTAATATCAATATATAATAAGAAAACGTCACGCATTATCGTCTTGTTTTTTCTATTACTTTTTGCCAACTAGCATAAGTGACACGAGTACAATGGTACTCGTTTGTTATGGTAGAAACAGTCTCTTCTGTTAATTATATTCTGCATCATGGCATTTTCTTTTTCTATCTCAGGCCGATGTGATTTTCAATGAAAACCCTCCGCTTCTTCGATTCATAACTGTCTTGTATAAACACTCATGATTCATTTAGAGCGTTGAAGAGTATACAGAGTATCTTACTAACAATAGGAT